AACATCTAAATATTTTCAGCGTCTACTCAGAAACCATTTTAAGGGGGATGTACAAGCCATATTGGATCTAGTCTGGTGTAAAATAAGAAATACCAAGAATGCGCTTAATTCTCTACTAAACTAGCCCAAAGTTACTCAAACTGCTAATGGACTAAATACCTTCTGTTAGAGACCAAAATTAGTCAACAATTAAGTTTATTTTGTTTTAATTAGGAGGAAATTACTCATGTTAGAACTGCGCAGGTACAGCATTTACGAGATGATAAATGCATTGAAAATGGTGTTAGTTTGATTCATTGATAATATGGCTACAACCATTTGTTTCGCTTTTTTCTTGTCATTATTCATAATTCTTGAAAATTTGATTTTCATATGGGTGCCTTCCAGAGGCAATGTGTTTATTTCGTCCGCCATTCCTCTGTCACACAGAATTCGAATAACATTGATTTTAGAATAAATGCGACCATAATAACATCAAGACAAGAAATTACTAAGTAATAATCATTAGGTTTTATTACTTACTACTTTTATTTGTTGCATCGCATCATCTGATAAATGAAAAAACGCGATTTTAACCCCATTCCAGCAAATCGGGAAAAACTGATCTGTTTACAGTTCGAGTTTCCTCGTTAAAATTATTCCACTGAGCACGTGGTTGGCATGTGCATATATCTGCTGAGGATAGATCAGTTTATTACCATGATTATATTAAATTTTTCATGGAACAAGTCTTGATAATTTGTTGGTTTCTTTAAAACTCAAGAAAAAAAAGATAAAAATGTCCTAAACATATGTGTTTACGGCTGGTCTTTTTTCTGTGGCGATAGAAGTTATTTTCAAATGGGGCACTGCAAGGAGGATGCTTAGCAATTAATTTGAAAATGTTAAACAATATGCGGTGCATGAAAAACAAATTGTAATTACATGTCCTACATTCGAAAATTGGTACATAATGTATATTTTGTTTAGAAGTTAGATAGAAATAATAGGCAGTTATAGGATTTCCTTCACGCACCTCACATAAATAGCTAGATTGTTTGCATTGACCAACACATTGTATGGAGTAATGTTTGGACATAAAAACGCATCATGTCTCATTATGTTGACAACGTTGTAAGCTCTCGCTCATTGAACATACGAAGCTTGATAAAATATATTGAGTTGTTTCTTTGAAATTTAGAAGCGAGTACAATGTTTGCAAAGAAAGGTCCATTGCATATGCTTTGTCTCTCATCGCATAAAAAGTGAGAGCCCCCCCCCCCCCCCCCCCTGAAAATCCTATGTTTGTTTTTCAAAATAGTGCAAAAGATTAAAAAAATTTGCATGTGATGGAATATGTACTAGCCTATAATAAGTCCACTTGTTATAAAAAATATTTGGTTGCCCTCTCTCCCGATCTACTGCCTGGAAATGGCCCGACTAATTTTTTTTTACATCCCATTACACAATATTTTTTTTTTTCTTCCGTCAACAATTGTGTTTAAATTTTAAGGAATTTCTTTCTCACCTATAAATACGGACCCAATATAAATTTTTCCCTGAGTTGGGAGGACCACCAAACGTCATTTTAAAGATGGTATAAAATATTTAATTATGTTGATTTTTTTCTTTACTTTGTAAAATTTTAATTTTGACAATATGGGCAAATAGAATTTTGGACACAAGTACCTGCATGACGTCATTTTCAGATTGTGACATCACAAACAAGGAGCAAAACTTCAGCATATGCTATTTATAGAACTTGTGTTTGGCTATTTTCTAATCTGAATTGTGGATTAGTAGATATAGAGATAGTTCAAACTTTTTGATCACCCCTGGTACTAGTAGGTATTAAAACAAGGTCATTCATATGGATTATATGTGTCTTATGTCTTTGTGTTTTATTGGTGATAACTAAAATTTTGATAGATAATATAATTTATCTATGGCAAACTTACAAACTCTTACTCTTTAACTTTGATGGTGCTCATTTTTCCTTACCAAGAATCAGAGAGTTTAAGATTTTTTATATCAATACGTACACTACATTACAACTGTTCGATAATAATACTAAATGAATTACTCCAAGCCACACTATAACACCTTTCCTCTTTTAAAAGTGTTCATTTTATTTGAAATATTTTGCAACTGTAATTCTCTTCTACATTTAAAGATTGTTATGTCCCTCCATATTAAGAAGAGGTCTGGAAAACAAAATTCTGTGCTAAAAATAGACCACGTGCTGTTATCCATGAACTACTTTCATGGTTCTTTGCACTCTTTTTTAAGACAATGGTACCATGTTTTGAACTTGAAATTATCATTTAAAAGTACAAAATTTAGACATTTTCTCAACAAATGGTTGTAGAGAGAACATTAATGCACAATTTGCGTATTTTTTTGGATTTTTTCAGGCTCTGCTGAATTCTGTAGCTGCGCAGTTCTAAGGAGCATATCAAAAGCATTTTTCTGCAAAAATATAGATTATATATACACAACATGCATTCAGTAATGCATATTTATTGTATCTTTATCATAAGGAGTTAAAATTTGATCAAAATATAATGTATTTTAGCCATTTGAAGAAATGTTTACATTTTGTTCTCACTGCACTAAAGGTACATCCCCCTTAAGTAATGTTGGCCTGTAGCATCAATGAGTGAAAAGGGAACAAAAATTGTCCTTGTCCCTCGGCCCTGTCGCTTGAGAGGGATGGGACCAAAAACATTAAAATCAATGGAATCTTTAAGAAACTTTTAAGTACTCCGGAACATGAAGCAGTCAAACCAGTACGGTATGATTGTATGAGTATTGAGTCCTCTACCAAAGTGAAATTCATTGCCACAGGGTCAGGGGTTCTGTTGCTAGGACAGGGCTCTGTTGAACGTAACGTGAAAATGTATTATTTCTTTAAACATCATCTCCTCTAATCATAGATATTGTTGTTTTTTTTTTTCTCTAAAACCGTATCCAAAACATTTGATGATGTGTTGCATCTATCTTACGACTCTCTGCAGATTGATCAATTTCACATATTTATTATGTTCAGAAACGAAAGGTTTTTTTTATGTTTATAGTAATGCTATCGCATGGTCACGTAATTCTTAAAGATCTTGAAAACTCGAGTATTTCCATATGTTGAATCAACGACTGAAAAGTTCTTAGGTTATGCAGGAAGAAAGGAGGAAAACTGATAAATTGCAAAATAAACAATATCTGATATAATTTATATCCTTAGACAGAAATAGTGAATACATACAGCTCAGAATTTAATGAAAAGGGGGTGAGATATATAAACAGTGAGCAATCTTAAAGAAACTATGAATTAATACAAATTAATACATGAAAAGGATATAAACACGAACCCTGGATCCCTGGATCAGGTGCCTAGGAGGAGTAAGCAATCCCTAGGTTATACCCGCCCTGGATTCTTTGTATTCATCAAGCAGACGGCATCGTTTAATATCAACTAATATTGAATAATATTATTATGAATTCAATGTTAGAGTACATAAATTATCAAAGGAAAACACATACACACAGAGAGAGAGAGAGAGAGTACGTAAAATGATCCCCCAAATTATACATAAATCAAATTATATATAAATTAGGGTGATTTCATTTCCAGTAACAAGTATTCGATTCGTAAAGTTTATCTTTTTTTCATCAATGAGCCATACGTACGGATATTGTTAATTTGTTGTGTTATCGTTTGTAATATTGATTTGGTGTATTTAAAATTGCATTTGTTGTCTTCCATGTATCATTTAATATTGGATTACATCTGTTTTTCATCGAACATCCACATTATTAATTTCAGATAAAAATGGTTGATATTGGTGTTCGTTTATTTACGTTCAACAACTCTGCAAGAAGACAAATCCACTTACCATGATACGAAAACAACACAACAAATAACAGGTGAATATTGTAGGCAGTAATACAAGGTGACAAGAATGTAATATTATGTATACCTATGCTATACACAATGCAAATCAATGATAAGATCGGCTGGTAGAGATGTTGCTATCTTATTTTCCTTCAGGAACTTAGAGAGAGAAAATCCAGGTTCCCAACTCCCCCGCAGTGTGGATTTGTTTTTGCGTTGTTGTTGTTTGGTCCGTATCGGTAAACACAGCTCTGGCAATATTTTTCACTAAATATAACAAACACAATTTGATATTATCTTTTTTTTTCTTCTGTATTGGTCTAGCCAGCATATTTTGCTTGGTTATGATTTGCTATTGATTTGCATATCAAGCATTTACATGCATAAGCACAAATAGATAAAATATTATCTCAATTACTACATGAATATATTTGAAAACCGAGATGTTCAGTAAATTTGAAAATGGAATCCCTATAAAAGTAAAAAATATTGAATTAGTCTTAAGGTTCTAGATATCGAGGTTAATCTGTATTAATGTATTTTTTTTACGTAACATCAAATGAAAATCTCGAAACTTTCCGAAAAAGGCTAGAAATGTTGTCATAGCAGAAGTGTCACAGCTATCCACAATTTTAAACTTAAAGAAAAGAATCATGGCCTTTGTCGAGGCTGATTAATTAATTATCCCGAATTCACATGAACAATAGTGTCTCTTTCAAAATTTGAATTTCTTGATCCCTGTGCGGAAGCTTTGGTGTTACATGTACTTTTAAGTGGAGCTATGAGGAATTTATAGGGAAAATGCAATAAAGCCATATTTTTTTTTCTTTGAAAATCTTTTCCTACTCTTGAGCATATAGAAAGTAAACAGGGTAAATGGTAATATGAACATAAATTTCATACTTTGCTGCTTGGCCATTTACATTCTACTGAAAGAAGTTATTTCCCTTTCATATTTTAAATTAATCACTGTAAATCATAATGTAATTAAAAGTTCAAATCAGTAACAAAATGATACAAGAATTAGTGTATTATTTATTACGAAAAATATTTTATCGTAGTTTGTGATGGTCAAGAAAGAATTGTCAGTTCTTTGGTAGAGACGGTCTTTAGTGTGTCCTGTTCTCCTGTCTCAGAAGGTAGAAATATCCCCACTTCCTGTTGTGACTTTTTTCAACGATGTTGGCAGGTTACAATGCGGTTTTTCAAACTTTATTGGGTACACTCTTCACCTGGGGACTGACAGCAGCAGGGGCTGCTCTAGTATTTGTATTTCACAGCAGTCAGGTATTTCAAATGACGTCATTGCATGATTACATGTTATTTTTGCAGATCAATCCTCAATCCAAATCTTGACACATCACCATCGCACCTGCTCATGGAAGTGAAACGAGTTTGAGTCCCAATTCAGTCACAATTCTTTTCCCTTTCCTTCGCAGAAAAACCCTTATACTGCAGTGAAATATCGATTAAAGCTTTTCTAAAATAATTTCTTATATATTCTGAATTTAAAAATCAGGTCCAATACAAACTCTTGATTTAGCTGTATAGCTTTAAATAGCTAGGCCTATATAACTTTATTAAGCTATTCAGAATAGCTTAAATTAGCTTTTTTACAACACTTTTTTTCTCAAAGGTATAATTGTCTCAGTATGTACAAAAAAGCACACCTTGTTGCAGTGATGATATATAATCTTGAACTCTTCTTACTAAAATAATGCATGTAAAAATCACTCATCAAATAGCGTCTCCTTGAGAGACTTTGTACTCAAAGTTCTACAAGTTTTGTGGCTATATAAAGCAATTGATAAAGTTACCTCTGCAATGAAATTATAGAGACCAGTTATGGTCAACAAGATAAATGATTTGTATCAGTTCAGCACAATGAGAAGCAATCATACTTATCCATGCCTCAACACACACATAAACCTATTCTCTATTGAGAAGTCGATGGCTCATTTCAATACTCCCACTTGAGGGAGTCGATGGCTTATTTCAATACTCCCCCTTGAAACGAGCCATCGACTTCTCAATAGAGAATAACGTAAACCATGGACAGTTACTCTAACAATAGAAATTCTTTTTTTTTGCTTAAAAGTATTCAAAAGCTGTAATGTTAGAACTATCTTCGATTTTGGCTGTTGTTATGATAGCCCTTAGTGAATATATGAAGAGTAAAATACATACAACTTTTTGTTTATTTCTAGCAAAAAAAACATTTTTGTGAAAAACTGTATATAAATAGCTAAATAAAGCTATTTTGAATAGCTTGATAAAACCATATAGCTATTTAAAGCTACTTAGCTAAAGTAAGAGATTGTACTGGACCTGAAGATAGGTCTTCAAAATGAAATATTGTTTCTGGTCTCATGCAATCACAGCATCCTTGCAATGGGTTCTCAGTCAAAACATTTCTGTTGGACCCCTTGCAAATGTTTCATCAGATTTTTTGGGGCTTGCTTCTCTTATATTGAGAGGCACCAATCAAAACATTCATAAACAGTTAGATAACGTAACAAAAGAATTCAGTTTACACTTCAAATGCATGTGTTACAAGTTGTTTATCATAAAATGATTTACTTTGATTGGTTAAGAGATGTGAAAAACAATCAGATTTATAATTTTTCTGAAAGATGTCACATCAGTAAGCCAACGGATATTAAGAATAACATATTGAATGAAATATGATAGGGGTCCAATGGCAAGGTGTTCACTCAAGACCCCTGGCATTGCGAGGATGCAATCACAGAGGGTTGTCACAAGATTTTGTCTTCTTTCTATTTGACCACATGTACTCTATAAGATAAAGAGAGGAATTTCAACAGGAAAAATTTCACTACCTTAAATCAGCACAATCAGGGACCAATACACTAAAAAGTTAGTACATTTGTCCCTGCTCCCATTTTCTTTTGTCTCCTATGAATTTTTCTTGATGTTTTCAGCCAGTTTACATGTACATTCTAGATATTACCTTATATCCGTTTTTTTCGTGTGTTGGAAATTTTGTGAAAAAGGGGAAGATTAGTACAGTTTTTATTTTGCGTAAGTTATTTTTTACGATTGAAGATTTTGTTGTTTAAAATGGTAATGTTTTTATGTCACATTATAGCTGAGATAATTTCTGTTTGTTTTATATTTTGCGAAATAAAAATGGTCGCCAAAAATGCAAAAAATGGATCATCGCGAAAAAAACCCGGAAATACGGTAATTAATTGGGAAATTAATTATCAAAAAAAAAAAACTTAAGAATTTTTCTTGAATGTTTCAGCCAGTTTACATTCTACATATCATTTGATTGGAAAATGATCATATTCAAAAAAACTTGTGAACGTTATGAAATGGACACCTTTATTAAGGTTTTACATCTCATGACACTTTTCCTAGCTGAAAAAGCTAAGAAAAAAATGAGATATCAAAGGATTTGAGATTCCAGGTTAAAATACTTAAATATATATATAAGTAGCTAAGATCTCCAGATCACTGCGATGGTATTCAATGGTATTCAAGATGTCTGTGTTCAAGATACCAAGGCTCAACTGTATTCTGATGTCAGATGTAGATGCATAATATCTTTAACTAAATAAAAAACATTAACTTTTTCAGCTAAAATTTTTTAGCTCACCTGAGCCGAAGGCTCAAGTGAGCTTTTCTGATCACATTTTGTCCGTCGTCCGGCTGTCTGTCCGTCTGTAAACTTTTCACATTTTCGACTTCTTCTCAAGAACCACTGGGCCAATTTTGACCAAACTTGGTACAAAGCATCCTTGGGTGAAGGAGAATTTAAATTTTTAAAATAAAGGGCCAAGTCCCCTCACAAGGGGAGATAATCAAGAAAAGACAAAAATAGGGTTGGGTCATTAAAAAATCTTCTTCTCAAGAACCACTGGGCCAGAAAAGCTGAAACTTAGGTGAAAGCATTCTGTGATAGTGTAGATTTTAAATTGTAAAAATCATGACCCCCCAGGGGAAGGGCGGGGCCACAATTGGGAATCAAAGTTTTACATAGAAATATATAGGAAAAATCTTTGAAAATCTTCTTCTCAAGAACCACTGGGCTAGAAAAGCTAAAACTTACATGGAAGCACTCTGGGGTAGTGTAGATTCTAAATTGTTCAAATCATGACCCCCGGGGGATGCGGGGCCACAATTGGGAATCAAAGTATATAGGAAAAATCTTTGAAAATCTTCTTCTCAAGAACCACTGGGCCAGAAAAGCTGAAACTTATGTGGAAGCATCCTGGGGTAGTGTAGATTTTAAATTGTAAAAATCATGACCCCCCAGGGGAAGGGTGGGGCCACAATTGGGAATCAAAGTTTTACATAGAAATATATAGGAAAAGTCTTTGAAAATCTTCTTCTCTAGAACCACTGGGCTAGAAAAGCTGAAACTTATTTGGAAGCATCCTGGGGTAGTGTAGATTCTAAATTGTTCAAATCATGACCCCCGGGGGTAGGGCGGGGCCACAATTGGGAATCAAAGTTTTACATAGAAATATATAGGAAAAATCTTTGAAAATCTTCTTCTCAAGAATCACTGGGCCAGAAAAGCTGAAACTTATGTGGAAGCATCTGGGGTAGTGTAGATTCTAAATTGTTCAAATCATGACCCCCGGGGAAGGGCAGGGCCACAATGGGGAATCAAAATTTTACATAGAAATATATAGGAAAAATCTTTGAAAATCTTCTTCTCAAGAACCACTGGGCCAGAAAAGCTGAAACTTATGTGGAAGCATCCTGGGGTAGTGTAGATTCTAAATTGTTCAAATCATGACCCCCGGGGGATGCGGGGCCACAATTGGGAATCAAAGTTTTACATAGAAATATATAGGAAAAATCTTTGAAAATCTTCTTCTCAAGAACCACTGGGCCAGAAAAGCTGAAACTTATGTGCACATGGAAGGATCCTGGGGTAGTGTAGATTTCAAAATGTCTAAATTATGATCAATGGGGTAGGGTGGGGATGCATTATGTATTACAAGGGGGAAATCTGGTAAAGAACAGAATGGTCAAAGCTTCTCAGGTAAGCGATGTGGCCCATGGGCCTCTTGTATTCTATCAAATATTCTAGCTGAACTGCTATGCTCATCTTTAATTAATTCTCTTTTTCAGAGAAAAGTTCTGGATGCTAGTCTGGGATTTGCAGCTGGGGTATGACTATTTAATTATATATTCCTAAAATTCAAAATGTATTTAAAGGATTGCTTTGAAATTATTTACACAGCTAGCTTGATATGTTAAATATAAGAAGGCAATTGCTAATAATTTCAGAATGATTTTACACTGCATCCTTGAGCTTTAATAAACATAAATTTAACATTTAATGAATATTCACATATTTGCTTCATTACACATTTTAAGGTTCATCACGTTAAAAACTGATCATGTATCTGTCTATCTGACATTACAACTAAATTCCTACTTTTTAGCAGTTAATTGCCTTCAAAGTAAAATTAGTCTTCTGATTTATCAAATCTGACTCGATTTCAAATTATTTGAACCTTTAACTATAGACTTAAATGTTCGGATCATACATGTAGAGTACTTGAAAATAAACCCATATATTTTCCATGGAATGATGTGATTCATGAAATATATACCTATGTGAAAAATACCAGTCAGATTATATATCTTAGCTGATAATATTCAAAACTGAAATGCATTTATATTTAATAATACTTATTCAAAACACAGAGAAACTGATAGACTATCTTGGGTTTATTTCTTAATTTAGTTATAAGAATGCACTGACTACAATATTATGGTCTCCTTGAGAGGTTGATAATTGCATCTATATGTTATAAAGTATGAAAGATTTCACATCAAAAATGCATTAGATTTATTAAATATAAATGTTCTTTTAATTTTTTTGTATAGCACATTTTCCCCAGTGTATGTATTATGAACAAACAATATAAAACAGTGAACTATTTTCTGGTTGACATCTTATCTACAGGTAATGACAGCTGCCTCCTACTGGTCTCTACTTAATCCAGCGATAGAAATGGCCGAGCACTCAGGGTTCTACGGAGATAAAGGGCAGTGGGCGTTTGTCCCTGTTGCTATTGGTTTCATACTGGGGGCAGGATTTGTGTATGGAGCAGACATCTTCATGCCTTACTTAGTAAATATCACAGTTAGATAAAAAATAATTCACAACAGTTTGATATTTCATGATATTTTATAAGTCCCTAATACACAATTGTAAATCTCAAGATATCCCACAAGTCCCTGTTACTGCATTCATGTCAATCAATTGGTAAAAATCCACTCTTGTTTTTAAAAAAAAAAGTACAGTATACATACAGTGGAGCCTTGCATGGGTCTTAATAATCTTTGTGACTTTGTTTCCAAATAAGATTCTTAGGATTGATAGTGCTGATGTAAATTTTATATCAAAGCTATTTGTAATATGATTGTAAAATGTTTGGTAACAGATTTTCTTCGAAAGGCAATGCTGTTAAAGGTTGTGTCCAGGTTTACCAATTGAATTCTTGAAACATTTTTGCCGACTTCCTTTATAAGGCTGATGTGCTACTCTTTTTATGTTCCTTTTGTATATGCCTGAGTCTTATTGTGTACAATCTTATACAGGGAGTTGATGATGCATCAAGTCTTATGATGTCACTTGATTCCAATATGAAGGAAGAGAAAGATGGAAATATACAAATGGAATCTTCAACCAATAATTTTTATGGTGAGTATATTATGAAGTGATATATGTTTTCTGCAGAAAATCTGTACAACATTATTAATATAAGTAAAACTTTTACATGAATCTCCTTACAACTTATATAAAGAATGCTCTCTCAATGCATATTAGATGCCGGTATTACATTTCAAAGTGTTTGGCTCAATTAGTGTATAATTTTATTGTGCTACTTGTGCATTCCATGTTACATACTAGAACTCTTTAATTTTTCTATCTTCAAAAGAATCTTTGTTAAATAGTATAAAATTCTTAGATCATTGAAATCCAATGTATTTTTTTTCTGTATTATATTTATTTACCACATCACCATTAAATTCAGATATAAACAGGCAGCAGTCCCTTAATCAACCTTTCCAACGTAAGCCAATGCAGGAACAGATTAATATGGACAGTCCGTACATGTCTACGCCGCCTCCATCCAAATCCCAGGCCATTAACTGGAAGAGGATATTGCTACTTATCATAGCCATTACTATCCATAATATACCAGGTAATCTGCAAAGGAAAAATAAACTTAATTCAGGAAGAAAGAACTATAACTCTGAATGAGAATTTGAAAAGTGGTATTAGTTAGCTCCCTTTATATACTTGTTATACCCCACGCAACAAGTTGCGGGGGAATGATGTTTTTGACCCATATCAGTCAGTGTTTCAGTCCTGATTTATTTTGTCAGCGCAACTCCTCATAAACCACTGCAAATAATTTTGTCAAACTTTGCAGACATTTAGGACACAATGAGTAGATGTGCATATTGCCAGGAAATTCTGATTCCTTTACTTTTTCCAGGAATTTCGGCACTTTTCAGAGACTTTTAGATTTTTGGCCATATCTTGAATATAGACATGTACAGTTTGTCACTGCAACTCCTCATAACCGCTGCACAGAATTTTGTCAAACTTTGCAGACATTTAGGACACAATGTGTAGATGTGCATTTTTCCAGAAAATTCCATTTTTTTGGGGGGGGGGATGGTAATTGCAGTACATCGAGTTCTGGAGGAGTGTGGGGTATGTGAGCTTGCTCACTTTTTGTTAGATTCTTGATGATCCCTTTTATAATTATTTTAAAGTAATGAAAACTGAGCTTGCTGCACAAATAGTATGATAATCTCTTTACACATAGATATGTTTGATATCCATTTATTATTATTCAAACAAACCAAGGTTGGTACCTGGGTAATAGTTTAATGATGCTTTGTTTTCTTGTTTTATAGAAGGATTAGCAGTTGGAGTGGGATTTGGAGCAATCGGAAAGTCTCCAGCTGCTACTTTTGAAAACGCAAGGTCAGACATTTACAGTAGCATCCAGACCCAACCTGACACCCAAGCAGTCCCTGGGACTGCTTTGAGACCGCTCTGGGACTGCTCTAGAAACGCTGTGTGACTGCTTTAGCAGTCCCAGAATGCAGTCCCTGGGACCATTCTGGGACTGCTTTGTGTCCAGTTGGGTCTAGTTGATACTGTAGTGTATCACTACAAACATGCAGTAATTCAGTTTCATATTATTTTAAGGCTAAATTCCTTGTAATTGATTCAAATACTGTATATTAATTGTGTTATTTTTGTTACTATCTAATTTTCATGTTCTTTGTGAATTATTAAAATTATAAAACCTATAGGTTACATAAACATTAGATATCCTTGATAAATAAGTGTAAAAATAGCTGTGCATGGAGTATTTTTGCAAAATTTATGATATGCAGAAGATACCTGATATATGGTACCGTGTATAGCTTCATCTATTTATATTTGGTACATGTATTTAATATTTTTTCTCTGTACAGGAACCTAGCTATAGGAATTGGTATACAGAATTTTCCAGAAGGTTTAGCTGTTAGTCTTCCACTCAGAGGAGCAGGAATGTCTATATGGAAAAGTTTCTGGTAATTTTCTACTCATTATCTCAAACTCTGCTCTCATGACATCATCCATCTTTGGTCTTAGTATAGAGACAGTACAGGTTTTTTTAAAAAAAATTTGGTTAATAATTGAAATCCTTATTTTTTTTGTGTAGAACAACTGAACTAAAGGCTGAAAATTTAATGGCATCTTTCAAAAATCTTCTCAAGAACCTCTGGTCCAGAAAAGATAAGACTTAAGTGCAAGCTTCATTACATAGTGTAGGTTCAAGTTGAGTGCAGAGGAAAGGACCATAATAGGTGGATTAAGTTTTACATATGCATATTTATATAGGAAAAATCTATTGTTTTTCTAGGTTTGGTCAGTTGAGTGGTATGGTAGAACCAGTAGCTGGACTACTGGGAGCTATTGCAGTAGTTATAGCGGAGCCTATATTGCCTTATGCTTTAGCCTTTGCAGCAGGTGCTATGATTTACGTGGTTGTGGATGACATCGTTCCTGAAGCACAAACCTGGTAAGTGAAGCATGCTAATACATCTTAGGAAAGATAAGTCATAATCATGTCTAGGCATATTAAAGATAGAAGAGTTTTGTCTCTTGATTGTGGATGATAAGCCCAGCGAAGTTATGTTGATTAGCAAAGACGCTCCTTAAAAATGAAAATTTTTCATTCCCTGGGTTAAGGGCTTTCGTGAACAGGTGGAGCTCTTTTGATTTTTTAGTGGAATGCATATATTATTTGAAAATCTTTTCTGCCCTAGGATATATAGCAGATAAACTTATATAAACTTAAAATATAAACTGGTATATTATGGTTATAATGAGCCTCTTAACAAATTGTTTATTTATAGCCCCATGGGTCAGAGATTTTGATTTAAGATTGGGGCTGTTAATCAGTAGTAACAAGCTAATTCAGAGAATCTGTGTCTCTCAGTTAAGAAAAAAAAATATGTGCAGATGGAGGGGGGGGGGGGGGCGTGTTGGAGAGCACTTTAAGAATGGTGAAGAAGAAGAGCTTAAGAAGAAAAAAAAATTTAATTGCAAAAACTTAAAAGTTTCCTTAGATATCACCTGAAAATGAAAATTTTACACACACACACAGAATGTTTTAATTGACGTAGACCTTTGACCTTTTGACCTCAAAATAAATAGGGTCTTCCTTAGGTCATAGGATGTTGTGGGTATGTCATAAAAGCTCAAAGGCTTTTTGAGATATTGTGCAGAAACAAATGTTTTAAAACGGGCAAATTTTTTAAATTTATGACCTTGATTTTTGACCTCTCGACTTCAAAATCAATAGGGGTTTTCCTTAGGGAGTTGTTATGTAAAATTTCATTGCAAAAGCTCAAACTCTTTTAGAGATATCGTTTGGAAATGAAAGAGCTACAGACAGACAAAAATACAGACAGAAGTATGGATAGACACAGTCAGACTGATTCAAAATTGATATCCCCAACTTTCAGCAGGGGACAAAAATGCATTTCTGACATTAGCTTTCTTTAGCTGAAAACCGAAGTGGACTTTGTCCAGGCTCCATCTATCCCACTTAAATTTTTCACATTTTTGAATTTTTTCCAGAACCATTGGGTAAATATCAACCAAATTTGCCAGAAAGCATCCTAAGATGTTGAGGATACAAGTTTGGTTAAATGAAGTGCTGTACCTTCTTTCTGTAGGGGAGATTATCAATAATTAAATTAAGGGGGAGATTTAAAATTTTCTTCTCTTGAACAACTTGGCCAAAAAAAAGAATCTTTTGCAAAATCTTCATTACATAAGTGTAGATTTAAATTCATTTAATCATGACCCTAAGAGGTAGGGTGGGACCAAAATTGGGAATCAAAGTTTTACGTAGGAATATATTACTAGGAAAAATCCATGACTCCAAAAGGTAGGATGGTACCACAACAAGGGATCAAAGTTTTACCCAGGAATATATTATGAGGAAAAATCTTTAAAAATTTTCTTTTGAAGAACAGTAAAGCCATGATTTGTCATATTGTGATAGAAGCATCCCAAAGTAGTATGTATTCAAATTTGTTCCAGTCATGCCTCTAGGAGGTAGGTTAGAGCCACAATGGGAGATCAGAGTTTTACATAGGTTTTACATACATTTATATACATGTATAGGATAAAATTTTTCAATTATCTCAGAAGAGAATGGTTAGCAGTTTGCCATTGCATTTTCTCTGAAAGTGTAAATGACTGTGATTCCAGGAAATGAGGTACTCCATGTACTCGTACTTCTGTGATTACTCAGTTATAGTAAGAGCTAAAATTTATTTAAGAAATAAGTGTATGTGGGCATATGTCAGGCATTTGGATCCATTTCTGAGAAATCATGTACATTTCCAATTAAAATATTTTTGTGCAGCTGCTGGCATCTGAAATTTTTGCACAATTTCAGGGGTATGTTAAATGATGAGTATGTAGCACATTTGTCACTAAAATATAAGCATTGACACGTTATACCTATTTGTCCTGTAAGAAATGAATCTAAAATAGAATGACATACTTTGGCTTTCATATTATGTGCAATTCATTCATTTATTATTTTAGTTTGAAAATATAAAAGATTATAAACAAGACATTATGGTTCTGTCAATTTAGTGAAAATATGGCCCCACTTTACTAAAGTAATGGTAATGTAATGCATTACTTTAAGAAAATAGAGTAAACATATAATGGTAATGGTAATTTAATGCCCAAATTGTTGAAGTAATGGTAATGTAATGCATTACTTTATATTCCAAGTAATTCTCCCCAAGCCTGGGCCCAAGTGTCAAATTAATTGTAACATCATTTTTTTTCATAAATTGGATTTTATATGTATATAACATTTGCAGTTAAAACTCTAAGATAATCTAGCAATAAGAAGGCATAATTTTGGCATGAGTTATTAGCAAGGGGAATTGCCATTGAAAGGGACACAACTCTGTGTAAATCTGTAAATCCACCATTTTATTTAGTGCATAAATACTACACATTATTTTTAAAAACCTGCATATTTTTAATGGTTTAAAGACAAAACTTGACCTATGTTCTAATAACCTCTGCCCTGTAATTTTAATTTAATAAGTTAGATTATATAAACACATAAAAAAAAATCCTTGAGTATAAAAGGTTTTACCGTATCTATAAATATCATTGTACACAACAATATAATTTACTTAATTCCTCTTTCTTCAAATTAGGAAAAAAACACTAATTGCTAAATTGGCAAGAAATATGTCCCTCTTTCACATTGTTTTCAAGTTAGAAAAATGCACTACTTTTTAAATAGACAAGACTTATCTCTCTTTCCTATTGTAAGTTTATTTTTTCCCTCATCTGAATTTGCAAAAATTTTTATCACATACATTTTGTGCATTTTAAGAGTATTTATAGAATAAGAAGTTGTCTTGCAATCTTTCATGGTCTGTTACCTTAGCACTTTTTAAAGTTTCTTTTTGTGCCTCATATTTTTGCACATCAAATGCCTATATACTAGCATGCAGATTCTTAAGCATTTTTTTCGAACTGTATGACATATTAATTGATATTTACTTAGCTGCAGATCTGTAGCTCTCCGAAAAAATATATATTGATAGACCGGAGAGCTATCCCATTGAAAAACCTGTATTTTATTGCGCACAAAAAAATGTCACGGTTCTCGATTTATTTCTCCATGTTTTTAAAGCTCAAAATCTCAAAATATTACTAACCGTGTGTTCCTAACATATTCTTTGACTCTTTCCACAACAAAACATTCCTCATAATTGTTGTTAATAGTCTTCCTGGCCCTGATATTGCAATCATCGGACATTTCCCTTAATTATACTGCCATTTTGGTTTCAAAGATAATTCGGTCCAATATGCTTCGTTCAGATGTCAACTACGAGAGAACTTGATAGAGGAGAGAGTAATTTTTTGAAATCTTTGCCATTTTTTTGCAATTGAGGTAAGAATTTGGAAAAATTAATATAGAATCGAAACTTTTCTGTGCGCAATAAATATACAGTTTTTTCAATGGGTGGCACTGTAGCTCTCCGGTCTATCAATAATTTTTTTCGGAGAGCTACAGATCTGCAGCTAATATTTACTTAGCCATTCCACTTGGAATCCTTTGTTGTGTACTAGTATGTGCTGAATCAATCATTCAGATCAGCTTTTGGTTATACTGATAAATCTGCATTAATCTGGATGCTCACTCCTCCATGGCACCAGATCCCACCTCTGATGTTTTGGAGATTCATGTTTGCTCCCCTCCTATTTTGTAATGTTTTATGGACTTTTGAGCTGTAGTACTGTTCGTTATCTATACAATTGTATACAATATTTCAAAAAAAAAAAACAAAACAACACTTTACTTTGGATTTTATTGTTTTTCAAGGCAACTAAGTTTTAAGGGTTCACCAGAAGAAACATCATATTCATAACTGATGACAGTAAAACTCAGTTATAATGAAGTCACTAGGACGTATGAAATTACTTTGCTATATTTATGAATTCACAATATCTGTGTTTGTATTTAGCAAGGCTTTACTGTAATATGGCAGGGTGCATAAAATATTCCACAATCTGTAGAAAACGGGTATGAGAGCAATGATTTCATGACCTTGTAGAATATCACTTCGATATATAAAAAGCATAAAATATTCAGGGTGTAAAAAAAGTACTGACTGACATAAATTTAGATCTTTAAAAATAATGTTTAGATTTCAGATATAAATGGTGAATTTTAAATAAACACAGGGAAAGGGCATTCTGTCTAATAAAAAAAATTCCATTCAAAGACAAAAATGTAAGGGGATAAAAAAATTAAGTCATGCATAACAGAGTAAATTGGAAAGCTAATTCTTCTCTGGTGTGAGAGTTCAATGTTTGGATAACTATTTCCAGAATGTAGAAACATTAAAAAATCAAGAAAAAGTAACTCTGGTTATGTTCTAATCCCTGGAAAAATGTGATGATTTAATTGATCTTTCATTGTGGTAATGAACAAAGCACAATTTTTCAGGAATGCATGCAGGTTTTGTGCCTATATATTTATTTTCAATCAATATAACACTAAAGTAATTTATATTATTTTAGGGATATTTAAATACTGGCCCTGTAGATATAAAAGAAGAAATAAAAATATCATTATTTTTTTTTTCCTTTTAAAAAATTCCTGACATTTCAATGTGAAGTAGATAATGAAAACAGTATGGGTCTCCTTTGGGTACTAGTGACCTACATAGTGTATTGCAGGTTATCTGATTTTTGTGTGGAATGTCAGCACAGTGAGCATGTGTAGACAGGATGTTAGGATTGCCCTACCCCTGAGTCGTGACTCCAGGAGGATGAACTCTACTGTCACATGCAGACAGCCATTTAAATCAAAACACATAAAATGTCTATCATCAGACTTATTGTGTTCAGTGCTGCAAAGTCGTAACCTGTAGAGACCCGAAATATTTCCCATCATGCAAAAAGCGTGCAAAGCAAGGTCACCTTTTAGCTCTCAAATAATTTTGACATATTTTCCTTTGT